GCAATCAATCGAGAGAAGATCTAACGAGGCATGCCTAAGCAAGGTAAATGCACATACAGCCAAGCGGAGCACCTGCAAGCAGAGCATGCAGGCAGCGGCGAGGCGTTTCAACGCAGGCCGCTCATCAGGACCATGTGGAAAAATCAGAGACACACTACCTCAACGAGAGCTCGAGCCCAGACGCTTATTCACACCGTCAGACGCAGCAGATGCAAACCGAACCAGTGCGCAGCTGTGATCTCTGCTGGTGTCATACCTGCTCTAGCCGCCTCAAAGTTTTCATAAGAGGTAGCTACCCTGATGCTTGAATGGCTGACCCCGCGTAGTTGGGTTGTTCTGCTATCCGGAAGCCTCACGAGTTCTCACGAATTTGTCACCTGCCGCCCTCGGGAACGGATACGGTGGCACTTTCCAGACGTCGTGTGTTCGGCTTCATGCCATCAATCTCTTCGCCGGCTAGGCGAAAGCGGAATATCTGGCGACAAAAGAAGCTTGCGTTGAAGTGGGCATTGGTCGGCCTGTTGGACAGCAAGCAAGAAACTGAGCGGACCAGGCGCAAAGCTTGCGGGCCTGTCTGTGCGATTCACCCAGCCACAGCTTCGCATTCTTTTCGCTCAGTGCTGCAAACCATCATGCAGACTACACAGCTCACAACTGCGCAATATGTGCGGTCGTGGCTTGGGGCTTCGGACTTTGACAAGACACGCCAGCGAAATCTTCTGCCCCTGCCGGCTCTTGAGGTTTGGCCTCCTCACTTGGCCACGCAAGCGATGGTTGCTGAGGACTCTACGTGTGCAACTTGTGCATTGGCGCTCTCAACTGTCTTGAAACTGGGTTGAAGGCCACTCCGGCTGCAAATGTCTGCAGTCACAAACCTTCTAAGGCACAGTCGAATGCACAATGCCATATTGCAACGCAGGTATCAAGATTTATGCAAGGCCTTGACCAGCAGTTCGGCGACGTGTTGCCTTGGAAAGGTTCTTCTCTGAATCGGCAAGGCGTGGTGTCCCAATCTACGAGGATATACGAAGTTCCTGCATTGACCTGCCCGCTGAAGCTGCATCCTGCGAACCCTGCAAGCTGATCAACACATCTCTCGCAGAAGCTGTTGGGAGCACCGATGCTATTTTTCCAGCTTCCTCTGGTCAAAAGTCTTTTCCTGGGGTGGACGACGTTGAGGGCCCTAGGCGGACTGAGTACATCAGTCTAACCATTCGCGAGCTGGAGTGTGGAAAGCTCCGGTTGCGGAAGCGGGTGAAGGGAGCTGCCGGTGTGTTTGCTGCGGGCAAAGCCAACGGCCGGCAGCGGAAGATCTGGAACGGCTCGTCGCTGTCCGAGATGGCTGCTGCTCCGCCTAAGCCGCGGCGTTTGGGCAATCCGGCCTGCTTCCTCGAGCTTGAAGTGGCCAGCGGCAGCGAAGTCCTGTTCTCCAAACGCGATGCTTCGACTTTCTTCGATGTTTTGGAGGCCCCGAAAAATCTGCAAGAGTGGTTCGGACAGCCGCCGCTGAAAGCAGGAGAGCTAGCCAAGGCCGGCTTCAGCCTAAAACGTGTGGCTGCTGCCTGCGACGACCTGGGTAGCGACCCTTTAGACGACAGTACTCAACTTTTTCCTGTACATGCTGTGTGGCCGATGGGATTTGCGTGGTCGTCTGCTGTGGCTCAGGATACCACTTTGGCGACAGTGATTGCCGCCGGAGTTGCGGAGGAAAACATCTTGAGCCCTGATTATGACCCGCCTTCCTGCCAGCAAGAGCTTTGTATGGTTGCAACAGATGATACTGTCTTTTTCCACCGGGACCCTGAACACGGCAGAGAGACGCTTGGCCGACTTGACGACACCTTCGCAAAACATGGTATCCCAAGGAATTGTGCCAAGGATGTCAGCCTCGCCTCTGAACTGACTGCCCTTGGATGCGATTTGCACAATAGTCCTGCTCGCGCCGAGCCGTCCAAGAAACGGTTGGGCGACACCGCTTGCAAGACGCTGGACACGTTGGCAAACCCTTGCGCCAGCCCGCGGGCCGTACATGGCTTGCTGGGAGTCTGGGAATGGTTCAGCTTGTTGCAGCGGGGCTTCAGCATTTATGATGGAGTTTACCAGTTCGTGCAGCAGAAGCCCGAGTTTGAGGTCCAGCGCATTTCCGAGGCTGCGCTCAATGAGCTTTTCACTGTGCTGTTGCTAGCTCCTCTGCTTACTGCCAACCTGGAACGGCTACCGCTGAACATCCTTACAGCAACAGATGCTTGCCTGGAGTTTGGTTTTGGGGTCGTTGCTTGCAGTTGCACAGCAGAGGAGAGTTCTGAAGTGTGCCGAATGGCTGAAAGGCGGGGCGACTACGTACGTCTTGCTTCCATGCCGGATGACCCATGTGAGGTACCTCGTCTCGGAAACCCAAGGCGTCTCAGACACACCAAGCGGGACTTTGTCAACATAGTTTGCTCGAAGGCGAAGTGGCCTGCACATTCAGGGGTACTTGAAATGCACGGGCTATTGCTTGGACTGAAGTGGTTGGCTCGCCGGTGGAAGAACCATCATTCTAAGGCGCCTTTCCTTGTGGATGCCAAGGTTGTGGTAGGCGCTTCGGCCAAGGGCCGCAGCTCGTCCAGAGCGCTTCGAACGTCTCTGAGGTCTTTTGCTTCATATACGTTGGCTGCAGACATTCTCCCTCGAGTCGTCTACATCCCCAGTGAGGCAAATCCAGCAGATGCTGCCCAAACGCCAAGCGGGTCCGCAAGGTGCCACATAAACAGAAAAGGCGGCAACCTTGCATGATATTTTTGTGAATTTGAGGTATTACTGACGCCACTGACGCTCTGTCCAAGTCTACCGGGCACTCTGCACAGGTATTGTCTTCTTGGGACGATGCCTCTTTGACCAGCTGCAGGAGAAGCTGTGGTGCTGTTTTCTTGGACAATGGGCTTCCACGACCTGCTCCAATCGTGATGATTCCCAGGCTTGCTGGCCAGGGAATTGACTGCATGCTCCCTTCTGATTTTTGGCGGCGAATCTCGTGACACTTCGCCAGTGCGGGGGGGTTCTGGAAAGCACGAGCTCGGCACTGGGTTCCTTTGCCGCATAGTTTTCTCGTGAACTCTACCTCGCAGTGGCGTCATACCTTCTGAAAGAGCGACGGCTCGCCTGGAGGCAAGCTGGGGAGAGTGGGGCTGAAGCAATGAAGGGCATATTGCTGTGCGAACGTGTTCAGGCTGCTGATTCACACCGTCAGAAGCAGCAGATGCAAACCGAACCAGTGCGCAGCTGTGATCTCTGCTGGTGTCATACCTGCTCTAGCCGCCTCAAAGTCTTTATAAGAGGTAGCTACCCTGATGCTTGAATGGCCCCGTCCCGCCCACCCGGGTTCTGGAAAGCACGAGCTCGGCACTGGGTTCCTTTGCCGCATAGTTTTCTCGTGAACTCTACCTCGCAGTGGCGTCATACCTTCTGAAAAGAGCGACGGCTCGCCTGGAGGCAAGCTGGGGAGAGTGGGGCTGAAGCAATTTATGTTCAAGTTTAAGCTCGGAGCAGAAACTCCATGGACTCACGGCCGAGCATGGCCGTCACCGTGAAACGGATGAAATGAAACCAAGCTGCTTCGTTTCGTCTTCAAACATGAATTTATGTGGGAAAATGACTTGTTTTACCTGGGTTGTTTGGATCACAAATGCATCGCTCGCGCTCAAAATTGAAGTCATGTGGAGAAAATGGCATGTTTTACCTGGGTTGCTTGTATCACACTGAAGACTCACGTCATGTATTTGTTGGTGCTACCTTGCTCCTGCACATTTTGAATTGAAGGCAAGCTTGAACTCCAGTCATTTTTTTGTTTCCGCACCTTGGTCCTGGACATTGAATTGGGGCTCACGTCATGTATGTTTTGTTGTCGACCTGGGTCCATCATCAAGACCTTTGCCATGTAGTGTGTTAGATGGCATGCTTGTGACGCTCGTGTGTGCGTTTCATCCTCTTCGTTGTACCAGGTACCAATCCACTATGCAACGCGTGCAGATGTCCACTTATTGTAATGCTCACGTACCTGTCAAGTTTGTTTGGATAGCATTTATCCATCCCGCTATGGACTCAGACCACTTGCGAATGTAGTCGTCGTGCAACCAACGCAATCAAACCAGCGTCAGCTGTAACCAAATGAATTCCAAGAAAGCATCTCATGTGGAGAAAAAGACGTGTTTTAACTTGTTTGTTGGTGTGACAAATGGTCCTGCAGACTTCAGGAAAACAAACGTTTTGACTCAAGTGATGTAAAGTGATGTATTTCTTCCCTTTAGCATTGGTCCTGCACGCTTCATTTCATGACACATGTTCGAGTCATTTCTATTTCTTCACTGAAGAAATGGTTTCTGCGCATGTCGATTCACTTGATGCACATGGTCTGAGCATCTTATTTAATAACAGATTTCGACTCAAATGATTTGTTGTTTCGTGTCACAAATGGTCCTGCACATTCCATCAAACACGCATTTCGACTTCACTGTCGTGTGTTTTGACGTGGTGTTCCCTGTCACATCGTCCTCATTGCACCAATCCAGTAGGCAACAAGTGCAGTAGCCGACTTGATGGCCATACTTGATCCGCATGCAAGGCTCGTGGTGACTCAACTGATGTATTTGTTGACGTCAGAAGTGGTTCTGCAACCTTCCTGTCATTTTTTTTTTTTTTTTCCGAATGTACTTAGAATTGACGTAGACGTAGCATTAATCCAAGTCCGTCCTGACACAATGATGAATGAGGCATGATACATGACAGTACGGCTTTGGTATTCTTTACAAATTTACATGATTCATCGCTTTCTTTGGGATGTCCGGATGACTGAGGCATGCACAGTCCAACAAAGTGTCACAGCACATGGCTCACTTCTTTCATTTCCGATATGTTGTGTCCTGTTTTAGTTGGATAACTTTCAAGTTTTGAGGAGTTTGGTTTTGGCTTTCAAAACCCAGGCATCCAGCCCCCCAAACCACAGCAGCGTGCTGCAGGCGACGATGCCCATCGAGGCCAGGCGGCATGTGCGCCTCAGTCGCTGGGATGTTCCCATCGGAATGGAGGTGAGCTCTCCCGGTGATCACTTTCTCTGTCGTCGTGCAGGCAGGAGGGCAGCAGAAGCTGCCCAAAAAGCGGGCAGCAAGCGGGGGTGGGGGGAAGTGGCAGATGACTGGTGGACGGGCGCGCCGGACTGGGACCTCAAGGCCTTCACCACGCGGCGCGCCCTCCTGGAGGTGCCGCCCGCGGCGCCCGCGACGGCCCCGGCAGTCGCCCGCAAACTGCGCAATTCTGAGGTGGACTTGGCACGTGGCAGCCTCTCCTTCCGCCTCGACACTTGGACAAAGGAGCGACTCAGAGCGACGACGAGCGCCAAACATGCCGAAGTCTCGAGGAGCCCATTCACGTCAACGCACCGGAACTTCTAACGGAGAGCTCAAGGCGAACAAAGCTCAGTTTCGACAAGCGACAGTCAGGTCTTTCAAAGCCACTCCTGTTGTGGAAGGCCGTGGACCCCACTGGTGTCCCTCTCAAGAGGCCACGAAGCGAGGCGAATGCACACCTCGTGCTATGGTCAATCCGACAAGTCTGTTCGCTGGAGGATTTGCGACTTCCACCTCGTTTGCAGGGGTGCGTGATGCCTGTGATGTTCGCAGCAGAAGACCTGCTGTCTGAAAAGTCGATGTCGGGAGAGGCTTCAGGCACAGATTGCATGTTCTTCACCTTCAAGCACATGCACAGATACACAAGACCCATCTTGCTTCTTCATGGACGGGCTGCTTCACTCAACAGGAGAACACATGTTGGCCCTTTCCCACACAGTACAGCTTGCCCTCACTCGGAGGATTTCTTGCAACAGTAGAAGGGGACTGCGAACTCCCAACAACACTAAGCGTGGAGCCGTCGATGTCACTGCAACACTCTGCTCTTCGATGTGGCGATGTGCCAGAACTGACAACGTGCCTAACAGAGATTTAAATGGCTGAGCTCCCGCTGCGGCCCAAGCGTCGGCGCCAGGGGGGGCCCAGGCCCCAGAGTACGCAGGCCTTAGGACAACGCCTTAAGCGCCGTTCAAGAGTGCTGCGTTGCTGCGTATCGGCGAAGGTCTTGCGCTCCGGGTCGTTGTGAACGCTACGCCGCGCTGAAGTGAGCGACTCGATCTCAGGGTCGCTGAGAGCCGACGACAACATGATGCGCCGACATTGCGCGACATGACAGAGACTTCAAAGTGTGAGCGCCCCACCATGCATCTGGACCAGGCTTAGGCAACCAATTGTGGAGGAAGTTTTGCCGAAGTGCCTACACCGTTTATTCCTTGAGCGGGGTGGTCACAGGATCCCCGAATTTGCCGATCCGCGCTCCGTTTCTCTCTCCACAACGTGACCTCGGGCGAGTTCGTGAGCACTTGACCAGTGGAATGGAGGTTACAGTTCGAGGGGCAACACCAGAAAAAAAAACGCGTGTCTAGCAAAGGAGCAAAGGAGCAGAGCAGTAGCGGCAGCAGCGAGGCTCAGACTGAATCTCCAAGACAAGGGCGCCCCGGATTTGTTCCGCAGCTGTGGGCCCGAGCCGCCGCGAGCGAGGGCGCCGCCGCCGCCGCGCGGCCGCACCGCGACTCGCTGCGTTGCTGCCGGAAGCGGCGATGGCCCCCCGCCGGATGGCCTCCCCGGGGATGGCGTCGGAGCCTCACTGCCTCACGGGGCGCTGCACTTGCCGCAGAAGTCCGTCGCTGAGGTCTCTGCTTCTGCTGGCGCCAGGGCTCAGACGCAGAGTCTCGATGTCTGCGACATGTCAAACGCGGGAGTTCATGGAAAGTTGGAACTTGAGCCCTAGCCGTAGGCTAGCAGCTCTAGCATGCTGCCCAAGTAGACGCAGATGATCCAAAGGTCATAATGGTCACGTAGCTTCGCATCGAAGGGTGCTTGAGGTAAGAAGCAAGAAGCAACACTCCGATGCGGCTCTGCGGCTATGACATCTGACTATAGACAGCGGTGCGGTGTCTCTGAGGTGCTGTTCGGTCGCAGCGAGGCCTTCGAGGTGCCGCGGGGCTCTGCGGCGGCTGCAGCTGGCCCTGTAAGTCAGCTCCGACCCGCAGAAGCCTCTTGGCAAGGCTGGGCGGAGAGCGAGGACAGGGGAACGGGGAACGGGGAGCGATGTGGGCCTGGAGGTGCTGGAGGTGCAGAGATGGTGGAGACGGCGGAAGAAATCCCGCCCCCTTCGGTTCCTGACGGAACCGTTCTGAAGGCTTCGCTTCGGCCGCTGCTTCTCAGCCTCCTGCTGGGGCTCAGCGCCGGCCTTGCTCTTTCCAAGCCCGAGTCCGCGCTGGCAGCAGACTTGGAGTGCCTTGGATTCGCTTGGATTCAAGCCGCACGCTCGTTTTTCCGAGCTCCCTTCCTGCACCCTCCTTTATTTGAGGAACGGCCAGGGCATCTTCTTGGCCAATTGCCCGCCGCTCAAGATCGGAGTCTCAGAGACGGCACAACAGCACGACACAGCACAGCA